CATCCCCGGTTGGAATCGAATGACGTGTGGCAATCTTGGCCCTAGACGATAGGTCAAATTCAAAAAGATCAGAATACTCTTTTATGAGCCAGTCAACCACTGCAACACAAAGATTGTCGAAGGGATCGGAAAATGGAAGAGCAGAACAAGACGGAAACATAGGAGGAAATAATGGGGGAACAAAAGTAATTGAAGCAGAGGTAGAAGTAAAGGGACAAAGAGGTACGGAAATGAGAGGAATGGATGAAACATAATGAAGTATGAAATAAGGGGGAGAAGCTTCAAAGTCACACTTGGCATGATTGCGCTGCAACCAATCCATATCAAGAATAAGGTCAAAAGCTTGACTCAGCACTACCCGCAATGACTGCAACTCAAGCTCAAAATCGCTCACATGCACAACTAAGTTTGCCTCATCCCGTGCATATATATATATACGGCCATTGCCATAAAGAATAAAAACTGGTTCCACCCTATAACACAAGTGTAGACGGCAACGTGTGGCAACAAGTCGAGCAATAGAAGATAAACTCAAACCTATATCAACTAACACAGAGAGAATAATAGAAAACCTCTTGTTATAAAAATGAGCTTGGAAAGTAAACACTAGATGAACCGGTGCCGAGTGAACCCCTTGATAATACTCCCAAAAAAAAAAAAGGGGGTCACTGACTTATTCGCACAAAGTCCTTCCATTATTTGTGTAACTCCTCGTTTCCCAGATGCACTCGATGTCCAAACCTTCCACTGCAGCAGCACCAATGGGACGTTGCTGACACCAAGGTCTCCACCCAGGAAATGGAGGTTGCCAATCTGGAAAACGCTGACAAGGTCAATAAGTATAACTAATTTCATCACACGCCCAACAGTGAACATCATAGCCACGACCACGTCCTCACACTCAACGAGAAGTGGAAGAGGCGATGTCTTATAACGTTGTGCCAAGTGAAGAGCATCGTCAAGGGTGGCGGGAGCAATTACATGCATAAGTCTAACAAAATCTTGATGAAGTGCTAGCCACAACATTCCTAGCTTGATCCGCTCCGACATATTTGGCTCTGCACAAAACAAAAGACTTCGAAAACGAACACTAAATTGCATCACCGACTCAGATGGCCTTTAGCGAAGACAATGCAATTGTTGGAAAGCATCATCACAATCGTCGGCATGTCCGAAGGCACGTTTGAAGACGTCCGGGAGAACACTCTAATCCCCACGAGTGGTTGCGCTCAAACCATTCTACCACTGCAATGCTGTCCCTTAGAGACATGTGAGAAACTCACGCAAACGTCGAGCATCATCCTAAGAATGATATGTGGCAACCACCATGAAGTGATAGAACCAAAGGTACACATCATCCCCAGGATTCCCGTGAAAGAACTCGGGCCGAACGCGAGGATTGGCACCAAGAGCAGGAAGAGTTGTACCACATGCCATGAACACTGCCATCAATTGAGTTTGGTTGTTCAATTGCAAGTGTATAGCATCAAGCAATTGTACCAACTGCTGCTCCAGAGTCAAAGGAGGAGATTGCTAATGTGTCATGAAGATGAACAAAAAAAAAAGAGCAAAAGAAGAGAAATGACAAAAAGCTAGAAGGAAATGGTAGATTTAAACAATGCAAAAGCTAAATCTAAACCAAAATCCTAAAAGGAAAAAACAAAAGAAAGAAAATGGAAAAAGTTAAATCTAGACGATGCAAAAGCTAGATAAACCAAAATCCTAAATCTAAGCACTCTTTTTAGAGACAATCAAAGGATGCCTTTCAACTCCACTAATGTGAGTGCTTGAAATATGTATAGAAAATGTGCATACTAATTATCCCAAAAACCTCAACTTATATACAAGAATGAGTGGTCCGGATTGAAACCAATCCGACAGCTACCAAAATCCCACTATGCTAATATTAATATATGGCATTGTAATTGTACACTTCACACAGCCAGAAAAAAAGAAGAAAACAACCTCTTTCAATTAATAGCATATGTGTGTGTGGATTCACACCCTCTGTAAATATGGAACAATAGCTTCATCTCTTCCTCGCCATAGCCTTGCAATTGGCCAGTAACCTTTGAAAGCTTATAACAACATGTTTGATCACTAGTCAAGCAGTCAGTACCTACTTCGCCTGCTCTTCTTTAATTTAATACGTGTTCAAATAGCTTTCAGGTAATACTTAACCAACGTTTAAGTTTGATGCAGCTCTTCACGTAAATTCAGTGCGTTCTAAAGCAACTGGAGTCTGACATCTGAGGTCGTGGAGGGCAGTCCAGACGTTTCTCATCCCGACCCTTGAACTCTCAGGTACACGGTGTTTTGATTCTATTTAAATTCCGATGTAAGCATGGTGATGCAAGCTCAGATCCTTGATCTCGAAACTCTGCCTGAATCCAAAACCTTTCAGGCGCACTGAAACTTAATTTGTGATATGGGTGACAAAACTCAATTCTATCCTTGGGGCCAACGGTCTCAGTGTAGCATTATCTCCTTAACTGGGATGGTCTCCAGGTCTGGCTACTCTGGTGAAATCGATTGAGATAGCTATTGACTCTCGTTGCCTCTATTTCTGAAATGACCAGGAGTTGTTCCAATTCTATTCTAGATGATTAGGCATGTGGTTTCTAACTGAGATGGAATGGAAAAATGTCCGTCTCTTCCTCGCCATAGTCTAGAGCTCTGCATCTAGTGCCATGGCCAAACCTCAATCGAGCGCCATAGTATAGAGTGATGCTTGGAGCAACCCAGTCCCAAAACTAATGTCCAACATCCAAGCAGTGGTTTTCCCCCTGCTGCCTACAGATAGATATGAGCAGATCGTAGTGAAGGAATAAAGAAACAAAATACTGAAGAGTACAGCCATACCTGAAGATTTCTTCTCTTTTGTGCTGATCTTGGCCAGCAACGAAAAGAAAAGCTAGACCATATATATGTGTGTGTGTGTGTGAGGAGAAGTGCAAGCTTCAAAGAGTGAGCATTAGATTCACAAGCAAAAACAGATACTAGAAATTTGTCGATCAGCATTTCAAGATTTAGAGGTGCGTTTAAGGGGAGAAAGGTTCCGTCTTCGCCTCTCCAAAATCTGATGAACTTTAAGCTAGATCACTCATGCTAAGCATTGCGGTCAAACAGCTCACATTGAGGACTAGGGCAAGCACATGAGTTAAAAAAAAATTTTTGTTGTTGAATGATGTGACATTGGCACAAAACTGAGTGGAGCATCGTAGCACTCGACCTTTCCGGACAGTCAGAGACGCTGAACTAAAGAAGTAGATCATAGACTGACAAGTTGGAGGTCTCAATCGCCGTCACAACTTCAAGCTGTCTGATGGAACGTCAATTTGTGCATGAGACATTTCTTTTTATTTTTCTCCCTCCCTGTACAATCGCCGGCTAGTCATGTGATAAATAACCTTCAGCAGGACGGCGTTTCTCAAAAAGCCATGGCCTCAAAGGATTCTGAGCAGGTGAACCTTGCCGATGCTCAAAAGCTGTGGAAGGCATTGCAAGGTATTCCAGGTCTCAGCGATGGGGACGCATTCATCCATTTCCTGCGCATTTTGCACTTGGGGATGTTGGTTCGCCAGGCTCCTATTGAGCATGCAAAGAAGGGGCAAGTGAGCGATGTGCTGTGCTGTGGAGTCACGGAACAAGGAACAAGAGTTGTGGGTGCTAACGTTCGTTTGAGGATGGACATGGCAGGGGGTAGACCAAATCCAGTAAGCATCAAGGATGTGGAGAAGAGGCTGGGAGTTCAAGTCTCAGCTTTTGATGATGACACCCATTCCAGGCTCCACTTGGCACTTCTCGACGAGGATAAAGAGGCCAAGCCCAGTAAGGGCCGCGACTTCGAGAACTGTGCGGAGCATGCTGTGTTCGAGAAGCTGGCACGAGTGAATGAGTCGGCTGATACAACTTACGCCGTGCAGAAGCACCAGAAGAAGAAAGGCGAATCTAATGTCGTGTGCGTCAAACGATGTGTAAACTGTCTCAAAGCTGGAGGTGCAAGTAGTAGCAGTGAAGGACCTTTCGGACAGACTCCACGTCTGGGAGCCATAGTGACGGACCATGACAGCATCGCTGGCTTAAGTGTTCCCATCAACACCATGCCCGTGATGGTGTTTATCAGGTGAATCTCCCGCTGTTTGTACGCGTTCTATATATGCTTTTGTTTATACAGGTCTGTGTTTCGCGCTTTGATGGAGAGTGAGCGTGCCCGTGTACTCGGGCTGTTCCCGTACCTCCAAGTTTGGCACGACCTCAGCATGAGCCAGGCTACACCATGTGCAATCGATGGATCTGATGAACCTCCGCGTCCAAAACCGAAACACTAATTGCGTATATGGTGTGGTATTAATTCCATAAGGAAACGTGTGAAGTTAATAAGTATATAAGCTGTCCTAGATAAATTTCCTTGATTATACCTTGGTCACGCTCTCTCCAAAAATTCAAATCATCAAAACGAACCTGGAAACTTGGTTGCAGATAAAAATAATGGAAACTCTGTATGTGAATCGCTGCGGAGAATTCGACAATGCAGCATGTCAGGTGGCTACGCTCAGAGCAAGCAAGTTACGGAAAATGTAGAGTGCAAATGCAATGCTGGCAGCATACATATGGCTGAAGCCAACCGAGCCATGCTGGCTCGTAACCTCTTCCTAGACCATTCTCATGCTATGCCCTGGCTGGGCATAAGCAGAAAGCTATATTAATCTTCCAAGGGAAGGATGCTATGGTCTTTGTGCGCCTGTTGCAGCCGCCTGAGAAACCTTCCAAAGTATGACAGCCGACATCCACATTCAACCGAATTAGTTCTGCATGCTCGATCTGTTCGGTACAACACGACTTCTGTTTGTTCCCAAAGGATATCTATGCCTGGGAGACCCTACCCGCCTCCTGTACAAACATGCTGGCCCAGCACTAATATGTCCGTGATGCTCGAGAAGCAGAAGCCAAATGTGCTCACTGCTGCTGCTGTAATATCTGTCTCAGTGCATTTGCAATACGAGGAACCGTTGCCGGCCATGCTCGTTTCTAACTGTGCCATTTGAAGCTGAAACACCTTCTTTCCCAACCGGGCTAAGCAATCCGGTGGTTCTATCCGCAACAACCTCAGGCGTGCCGCCAGCTGCAGTACCCTGGAACAAGATCAGGAGAGAGAATTTATAGGGGTATGTACATGGTTAACTGGGGAGCTGGAACACCATAGCCTCAATTGAGATTCTTCCGCTGCGGCGAAGTATGGATTGACAATGCACCAGATGCTCCATTCCTTTGTCCAGCACTAGCTGTCACAGCTCTGTGGATCCGGCTGGTTCGAGAACGCCTTAAACAACAAGTCTTGGCCTTTGCCTCACGAACCGGTTCGAACTCACTGTTGATTGCTGCGAACATAGAGATGCCAAGCGACTCTCAGGCATCTTGATCCTGGAGAAAATCGAAAGTCAAGTTACAAACCTATCCAAACAATTGGATGAAATCGAACCTCAGCCCAGACGCTGCTGCTCAAATAAACTGTATCCCAGACCAGCCGGCTTCAAGCTATTGCTCCGCCCGCCCCAACGATGGCGCTTTTAAGTGAAGAAGTACGGGGTCCGATTAGAGCCCCGAATACGAATGAGAATGAGAAGCGGTAGCAGCGCTCGTCGCTCCGCAGCCATCCCTGAAGAACCCTAAATCTCGAATATGGCGGATCCTGCTGCTGGAAGCGGCTGTGCTGTGTCCAATGCTGGGTGCCTTCGTGTCCTGCCCAGAGGGTCACCGTTTCAAGATCTGCGCTTCATGCGGGCAACAAAATAAGGCTGGTCTTGTCTCTCTACTGACATGGACTTGAGTGTAAAGCTCCTCAGGATTCGTCCGATTGTAGGATCTTTGCTGCTCATGGAGCTTGCTGTGCTGGTGCAACTATGGGTGACCATCAAGCAACAAAAAGAGAAGCTGGAGCAATTCTGGTGAATGCTTCCAGCTTGCTTCCTTTGTTCTTCTCGAAGCTGTGAACAAGACAGTGTAAGCGGCGTGTTTGGATGCTAGATTTGCTTGGTACTTACACTTGTGCGATTTAGGTTTGCGAACTGTGAGCTTCGTAGCGTGAGATTGAGGTGAGTCATCGTACTTTTGTTCTCGAGACCTTAGATCTTGGCGTTTTTTTGCTCGCGTCCAGCATGGATGCAGAAGGAGCGGACCCAGCGATCAGTCAACTGACAAGTCTCAAGGATGATCTCAAATATCCTGGTATTGAAATAGAAGACGATATGACTTGTTTCGTCTTGTTGCACTGTGTTGAAAGATCACGCTGACTTGACGCTGTTTGCAGATCCAAACTTACGGCCCGATAGCACTAAATTCAAGAGAGAGCTGGATGCTCGTGCAAAAGAAGAAGTGGAACTCTTCTACGTACGTTGGAACTCAGACGTTCTCATACCGGGTATGTCAGGATTGCTTCGCTTATCTTCTCTTTTCCGCTTTTTTTCTAAATCACGAGTCCGCTTAACAGCTCGGTTCCCAATCTCAACTTTGCTGAGGCTTCTGCAAGCCGCCAGCACGGCCCTCCACACCACGGCATCGCCCTCCACTGGAGAGCTTCCTACGAAACGTACCATCTCCTCGATCGCCCGAGAAGATCGACCATGCACACGTAGTACTTCGCAGCGGGGGCGATCCCATAGTCGCTCCTCATCGACACAAAGCTGCAGTGAGCGTCCTAGAGCCCGGCGTGGCTACACGCCGAGAGGACGCTGACGAAGTTGATGGAGTTTGGCATGGTGCCGGATCCCATTTGCATCACTCGGAAGAGCGTGAGAGCTCGCTCCCGTGGCTCTGTTCTTGCAGCTCATCCGCTAAAAAATCTCTCGCGCTTCCGCAAGGCTGCCACACTTTGCATACATATGAACGAGGCTCGTTCCGGTGGTGACGTCCGTCTCATGGAGACCATCCTCCGCAAGACAAGAGTGAATGAGTCTGCCGGTCTGCAGGAACATTGGGTCGTAGCAAGCCTTGAGGAGTGTAACGAATCCGATTTTTCCAATCTTGACACCCTCGAGCTGCATGACAAAGAGCATTTTCACTGCATCCGACTGATGCCCATTTTGGGCATATGCTGAAACAATTGTGTTCCAAGACACTGTGTCTCGCAAATACATTCTATCAAAGAAAGCTCTGGATTGGTCGATTTTGCCGCATTTTCCATACATGTTGATAATCGCATTTGAGATTATCACATTCTTCTCCAGCCCAGGATCCGCTATTATTTTGTGTACCACAATGCCCCCTGCGAGAGCGCCGTGTGTGGAGCAAAGATTGAGCGCTGTCAAGAGGGCGGTTTGATCCGGGAGAATTCCCTGTCCTCCATGTCGTCCAGCAGGCCAACAGCCCCTCCGATCGATCCACATGAGCCGTGAGCCGTGATGAGCGCGCTCCACGAGAGAGAGCTCCCCTTACTCGCGTCAAGGCTTTGGTTGGCATCGTCCAAATGCCCGCACTTGCCATACATGTCGATGAGGTGACTCGCGAGACGCCCATCCCTTTCAAGGCGGCCCAGACGGGAGATATGGGCGTGGAGCTTCCTACCACCATCGACCAATCGCAGGGATGTGCAGGTGAGGAGGAGATGGATGAGCTCTTCCGGCTCCAGGCAAAGATTAAGGGCATACGAAAACAAAGAAGAGAAAGAAAAGGAATGTAGAGAGTATCAATCCTAGTGCCTCTCGCATGCTAATTGAGCGCTCTAGTAGACTTGGTGGTGAGATTTTCTCTTTGTCCCGAAAGTTTTCTCTCGCATCCCTGGAATCCTTCCATCTTTGCGATTTCTCTCTCCTTTTGCGATTTGTTTCTAAAACTTTCTTTTGTTTGCAGGTGCCACCCTTTGTTTTTCTCATCGTTTTGATTAACAATGGGGTCTACCTTTAGGAAAGATGCCGGAAAAATAAAGTAAATAACTGTTTTATCATCTGTCTTATTGAGAAACTATCCCAGGAAACATAGACAATTATTCAATGGGCGAGTTTGACTCTACATTTGAAATAATAACTCAAATGATATAAGAAGGAAAAGAAAAACATAAAGAAAATGGCAATTTTTCTCCTCATTATCCTAGCAACATTCCAGGTAACTCAAGGCACCTCCATCACAGGCGCCAACACAACACAGAATCCCCGGGAGGCCAGCGCTTCGACTCTGTCATGGGAGTAAGCCCTCTCCATCCTCGCCGACGCCATGGCCTTCGTCCAGCTTGGCTTCTAGTATATGAGCCCCGACACACCCAAGAAGGAGATTGACACCATCCACTTCACAGTGGACGACATGCCTGGGGTGGCCTACGCCATTGGTGTGGAGATCCATCTCAGCGCACAGTTTGTTGCTACTTTCACTGGAGACTTGGTTTTTGAGCTCCTAAGCGTCTTGTACCACGAGATGACTCACATTTGGCAGTGGTTCGGCAAGGAGGGGAGCCGGGCGCCACAGGGACTGATCGAGGGGATTGCCGACTTTATGAGGCTCAAGGCTAAGCTAGGCGTGTCGACCAATGGGTTTGTGGGGTCGGGGAGCCACTGGGACGAGGGGTATACCGTGACTGCACTGTTTCTAAACTATGTCAACGATCTCCATCCCAGCTTTGTGGCAGAGCTTAACAAGAAGCTCTATGACGGGTGGAGTGAAAGTTACTTCCAGGATCTGACTGGAAAGAGTGTGGATCAGTTGTGGAGCGATTACAAACAGAAATTTCAATGATGAACTTTGTTTATAGATTTTGTCTGAAGAATGGAACCAAATTGTCATTATGAAATATACATCAAATAGGAGTCTTAGATAAAGGTAAAATTAAATAGCCTTTTAGCTATTATAAGCTAAATTTATAATTAAAGAGTTTATAAAGAGTAAATTATTATAATTGAATACTTTAGATGATTTTTTGGATTGCTTAAGCAAACCTGTAATTTATAAATATATTTATAATTATTGATCAATTAGATTATTCAATAATAATAAACAGGAATGACACTATTATAACCAAACATTGCTACATGCAAAGTGCAGCAAATGATTTTTTTATTAAAAATGCAAAATAATAAAAATTTTAAAGGTTTGTTTAATATTCAAGATAATATACTTTAAAACTAAAGCATTAGTGTAAGTAAATAGATTTTATATTTGTCTTTGCACAACTTGCCATGTGGCAATCTTCATTATAATTGTTTTCCTATGCTCTCTCTATTTTATAGTTAGTTAATTATTATTTACTTTTTGAGTTTCTAATTTTTCATGTAGTTTATTATCATGAAGCTTGGTAGATAAAGTGATTAGAAGCAGTACACAATAAAAGAAGTCTTACACTGTATTTAATCTCACCAAATTAAATAGTAAATATTTGCTAATGATTGTTACAATTTTTTCCTTTCTGATCATATATATTAATATCCATTGCATACAAGAGAAATGATTTATCTCATGGTCTTTCTTTTGCATGATTATCTGTGTTATTGAGAAATTATCCCATAAAACATCGACCATCAATAGGCTGGTTTGACTTTGCATTTAAAATAATAACTCAAGTGAGTAATTGCTTAAAATATATATGGCCTTATAGAAGTTTACTGTTCATTTCAGCAGCTAACATTTATTAACCAGTTAATCTCTTTCGAAGAGTGACACTATAAAACTTTGTTGTTCTAATGGACAAGATCAAGCTCACAATGGATGCAAACAAGCACACTCCAGCCATGACAAAGAAGGTTGTTCTGTAGCAATGTGGTCCATGGCAAAGGAGCTCATCACCATCCAAACTTCCATTGCTCGGTCCAAGCTTACTCTCGCGGTCGTATAAAACTCCTGCCACCCGGACGGACAAAACATAAGTTCCCAGCGCCTTAGCGACGTAAGTTACATTTTGGAGCGTCCCATAGAACCTGAGCCCGAAGATCTCCGCTATCATGGTGTAAAGAACCGACCACTGGCCACCGATTGACAACCCAATCAAAACCGAGCCGTAGAAGAGCGCTCCGGGAAGCCCAAGAGCGATTATCAAGCTCCCAAGCGAGAGAAGCAAGAGAACCAGGCACAGGAAGAAGGGCCTTGCGACGCCATAGCTGGCGAGGCATATATCCGAGATGAAGCCAACGCCAACGCCACCGATGAAGTCCCAGATGCTAAGGAGGGCGATGAAAGTGTTTGTTCCGGCCTGGGAGTAGCCAAGGGACGTTCCAATCTGGCCGAAATTGTTGGTCACGGTTAGCACAGCGCCAATGCCACAGGTTGAGGCCACGAAGATGAGAAACATGTCGATGCTACAGAGCGCCTGGAGGATTGTGAAATCGTCTCCTCGCTTGACGGGCGATCCTTTAACGAAGAAGATCGAAATGTGCGAGGCGATAGCTGGAGCAGCGGCGTCTGCCCCATGATCCGGACGATCTACGTGTTGATAATCTGTTTGAGGAGTTTCTATCGCTGCGTTCTCCACTAGATCAACATCAACTTCTTCGCGATGGCGATGCCGGAGGGTTTTGGATTCCTGTCTCAGAACCACAAGAACTGGGATGGAGAGAATGATCAGCATAATGGAAAAGAAGGCCTTGATGATCCGAGACTCTAGGCGCACGAAGTGCTGGAGGATGATAATAGCCATGAGATATCCAGCCAGGATCAAAGTTACTGACACGAAGACGAAGAGCGTTCTCGAGTCATTGTAGCGGCCGTCGAGTGGGACGGATCGAATGAAAAACGCGAATAGAAGGCACAAGAGCGATGGAAACCAGGCCAGCAAGAGAACGAATGAATCGTCACTGTGAGAGAAGAAGGCCTGGTAAAGCAGCGTGAATATCGCAACGCTCAATCCCTGCGTACTGTCGAGAAGACTAAGAACCATGCCCTGGTTCTTGGGGAAATTCTTGGCACAGGCCACAAGAACAGCGGTGGTGGTGAAGGCTGCCGATGCGCCGATCATAAAGAGATAGAAGCACAGTTCCCAGACATGGGGGTGTGCGATTCTCTGCGTTGTAGCCAGCCATATCGTGAAGTATCCAGCAAAGTTTAGCGCAAATCCAAGGAGGAGCACGACCCAGGGCCCGGTGAGATCATAGACGAGGCCGGAGAGAATCCCGACGCTGGTGCCAACGTCCTTAAATAAGCTTATGGTGTTGATATTTTTTTGGTTGTAGTCGAGGGACAGCTTGAGATGCTGCGAGAAGAGACTGAAATTGTTGAGTGATCCTCCCGTGGAGATCATGAGGAAGAAACTTGCCAATGCAACCATCCATCGACTGTTGTAGAGGTGTTTGATCGTCCCAACCATGATCCTAAGCTAAACTTTAGATTGAAATAAGAGCGGAGAGCATATATTTAAATATGGATGGAATTCAAATCGAAAGAGAACATATTCACTGTCTTTCTTAGTTTTCCTACGTCCCTTCCAGAAAGAAAATGTGTCCAAGCAGCACACAACAAGGACTGAAGACCAGGAAGATCTGCAAGATGTAGCTCTAATTTTCAATCTTGGCATTTTTTAATCCATCAGTCTCATGCTTGACAACTATCTATTTATGTTATTTCGGTAATCTCGTGACTGATGGATGTAGAAAATCGAAGCCGCGATGTCGGCTCCCTCCTTCGCTGCTGCTGCCGGCTTCGTCACTTACTATCCAGAGTCTCGAAAAAGAAAAGACGTGATGTTTTAAGGAATTGAGGCGATGGCCACGTGGGCTGCCACCTAGAAAGAAGATCTTTCGCGGCCACCAACTTGGACTTTAACATCATGAAAATCAACTATATAAACCCACCAATTCTATGAATCTCGTTCATCTTATTTCCTCCTATTTTGTAGCTATGCCTTCCTTTGTTGCAAATGTCAATCAGCAGACTGATGTTCTTCCAAAGGGTGTCAAAGCTCTCATGGATAATGGCCTCGTTACCATTCCTGGCCGTTATATCAAACCTCCCAGCCACCGAGCTGTGAAGCATTTGATCGTTCCCGGAGTGGAGATCCCTGTGATTGACATGGCTGAATTGGAGAGTGACCGAGAGAAATTTGTTCAAACTTTGTGCAAGGCTTCGAGTGAATGGGGCATCTTTCAGGTATTTTGATGTGTACCTGCTCAAAAGGATCATTCATAATATGATGTCACATGCAGGTGATCAACCACGGGATTCCTGTTGCAACCATGCAAGGCATGGTCCATGGAGTGCTTGAGCTCTTTGATCTTCCTATTGAGGAGAAGATGAAGTATTATACAGAGGAGGTGTTTGTGCCCGTGCGGTACTGCACGAGTATGACACCTTCTCAAGAGACTCATATGGAGTGGCACGATCACTTCCAGCACTACTTTTCAAACAGGGAAAAAGAGCATCCATGGCCGGAAAAACCAGCCTGCTACAAGTAAATGAGCTTGACTAATCTGGATTTCATGAGATTGCTTGGTTTCTTGGATATTGCAGGAGGCTCGCTTCCAGCTATGTTTCAAGCGTGAAACATCTGAGTCAGACTCTGATGTCTGCTTTGTCTGAAGGACTCGGGCTGGATTCAAACTGCCTCGCGAAATCGTTTGGAGACTCAGAGATGATCTTGCGATCAAATTACTATCCGCCGTGCCCAAATCCCGACCTTGCTCTTGGGATGAATGGCCACACCGATAGTGGCGGTTTGACAATCCTGTTTGAAGATCAAGTTGGCGGACTCCAGGCCAGGAAAGGTGATCTCTGGTACGACTTGAAGCCTATAAAGAATGCATTCATTGTGAACATCGCTGATCAGCTTGAAGTAAGTGACTTGGATTGATTTTAATCATGGCTTTGTTCGTTTCCATGCCAGATTTTGAGCAATGGAAAATACAAGAGCATTGAGCACCGAGTCCTTGTCCAGCCTGATCAAACTCGTCTCTCCATCGTGGCATTTTGCAATCCATCACGGGATGCTGTGATAGGACCCCCTGCCAGAACTTATTGATGAGCAAAACCCGCCACTCTACAAGTCAACCGTATACCAAGAGCACATCACAAATGTGTACACAAAATATTTGGATGGCAAGCATTCACAAAAGCTCCAAATAAATTAAACCAACGAGCTGTTACTAAAATAAATAATACAAATAATAAATCTTAAGATTGACATGACAAGGGTGATGTTTGATAAAATGCCATGCAGAAGCTTAGTGTTGTGGAACATCGCAGTGTCAGCCTATGCTCAAAGCAGTGTGTTGATCGCGCAAAGTTTATGCTTGATCAAAAGAAACGTAATCTCCTGGACTGCTTGATGTCATCTGGCGCACAGAACAGCTCCATTAATCTTGTGAATATCATGTTCCAGAAAATGCCTTTCTGCAATATCGTCTCCTGGAATGCTGTTGTTGCAGCAAATGCCCAACTTGGATACGTTGAAGAAATGAACGTGCTTTGATGCGGATCCATTTTCGTGGAACTCGCTACTTTCCGGGTTTCCTCAAGCGGGGCATCTCGCTCAAGCCTTGCAGGTCCAAAACACTGTGTCATCTCATGGAATGTAGAGCTCGTGGCATTTGGGACGAATGGCTGCTTGGAAATCCATGCCTGAGAGAACCCCAGTATCTTGGAACACCATGATCGCAGTCTACTGCCAATTCTTCTGCTTGGATGAGGCCAGGCTTGCATTCGACAGAATGCTGCAGAGGCACGTTGTGTCATGGAGCTCAGTGATCAAGGGGCTCTCTAACTGCGGCAGAGCGAGTGAGGCCAGGGAACTCTTTGTATCCATGCCCTCTCGTGATGTCACAGCATGGAACGGGCAGCTTGATAGTGCCGAAGAGGTGACAGACAAAATGTCGTTTGCCGCCAATGGTGTGATTTTTCGTCTGTTTCCATCATTATTGGTTTCACAAACTTTTGAACTTTCCACACTTGAGTCTTCAAATCAAGCACCATTTTCGTTTGTCCATGGAACATAGTGAACTCATCATCCAGGTAAAATGGGCTTGCTGGGATGAGTTCACCACGTATAAGAAAATGATGACATTTCTTTTCTTCCTCTTTTACAAAACCATCAACACTTTTTACCAGTGGTAAGTGCATATATCTCAGTGATGAGCTCTCCTCTCAACGAAACTAATCCCAAAGTACTATACCAGTACTCCTCCGACCTTTCCAATTTCCCCTCAAGCACAGATTCACCAGTTTGAGGCTTATAAACCTAATGACCATTTTCCCCTATGATGTGTTCAAAATCAGTCCATAATATCTTCTATACATTAGAACCCCAACCTCTTTCCACTACCTGCTGTATAGGCATAAATGGTACCAGTAAAAAAAGATATCCAAAAACTGCTGCCCAAAGTTCTCAGGTTGAATCCAATCCAATACTGCATACTTCTTGGCAGTGTGGTAGCATCACTGAACTGGATGGTATCAAGAGATTATTTATCACCAAAGAGACCGCTTCCATGTAGTACCTCCACAACACCCACGCCACTGGAATGCTTGATGGTGAAACTGACACTTCAGGTGGGAGAGAAAAGGTTTTTTGCGATCAGAGCTTGCCACTTTTAGGATTGACGCACACCTTCTACTTTCCACTTTAAGAAACAAGATAGAAGCATTACACCTTTGTCTTCCTCGCACCTAAACCACTTTTAAAATACTCTTTAGTTATTCAGGTGAATTTGTTGGTCAGTGACGCTCAAGATGGCTTTAGTTAAATAATTATGCAAGCGATCCAGCGCTTCTTCGGTAACCAACAAGGCGTTGGAATCCTCGCCCCGACTTGGTCATAACCGAAAAACCCACTTACTAGTGCTTAGCTCTGAGTGGACGATGACGATGAAGGTGATACTCCAAAAAGCTAATACTGGCAATATTCTTTAAAAATTGTATATTCTACCATTGTGAGTGCATGGAAAGGGAATACAGAAATGTGCATATTAATTAGCCCAAAAACCCTAGTTTATATACAGGAGCGAGTGGTCCGGATTGAAACCAATCCAACAGCTACCAAAATCCCACTACGCTAATATTAGTATACGGCATCGTAGCCATACATTTGGCCCTCACATCATCCCCTCCTCTCGGAATAATGGAAGGCTGTCTGAGTTCTCTTGTAGATGGGCCGGGATCTGGAGGAACGTCAGGAGGAGGCATGGATGGATCTGTAGACGGTATTAATTGCTCCTGATCCCTTTGTATGAAACATTTCAACCGTTGCACATGCACAATCTCTGGAGGATTGACCTGCTGGACATCATGCCAAACTTCATAAACTTGTGGTCCAACTTGCCGCAACACCCGATACAGTCTTTTCCACTGCGCAAGGAGCCCCTTAGATAAACCATGTACTGTAAAATGGGGAAAACGGACTAACACCAAATCATCCACTTTGTACTCTGCATGTGGACGATGATGGGAATTGTAGCACCGTTGTTGTCCCACTTGTATGTGGTCTAAGTGTTCGGCAGACTCTGCTCGAACAAGTGGAAGAATGCTTGTCAAATATTGATCCCATGACTTAGCATCAAGAGCTCGTGGCACTCGTGAAGGTAAACCCAACTCCGTTGGTAATATTGGATCATGACCATATAAAAGTTTATATGGTGAAGCACCAATACTTTACACCCCTGTGACATATGCATACCGAAGAGACAACAAATAACCATCCCAATCCGAATGCTGAAAGTTCACATACTTCGCAATCATCCCTTTGAATGTCCGAATGAGCCGTTCCACCAGACCATTTAATTGTGGATGATAAGCACTCATGAAAGTGTGACGTATCCCCAACCGAGACGTCAAAACATGAAATGCTTTATCCATGAATGCGGGACTATTATCCAAAAGAATCTGCTCTGGACAAAAATGCTAGAATACCACTTGATTGAGGAGGAAGTATCTAACAACAGTTGCAAAGGCACTAACAAAAGCACCAACTTTCACCCAACGAGTTAAGTAGTCAGAAGCAATAATAACATACTTATTGTTAGCAATCGACCGTGGAAAAGGTCCCACAGGATCAAACACCACCAACTCAAATGAACGGGAAACTACAATTGACTCCAACTGTCTTTCCACAACACGAGGGGGACTATTACGAGCTTGGCACCAAATGCAACTACACACATACCGGATAATATCACGCTGCATCTCTGGCCAATAGAAAGACCTGTGCAGCTTCTCGGTTATATAACGATGTCCCATATGCCCACCTAGAATAAGAGAATCATGGTAGGCATGGAGAAACCACAGAATAAAGACAAAAAAGCACCACCAGCCATAAATGATCATTAGGATCCGTCCCCACAAAATAAAAAAGACTGTCTTTAAGGTGATATTGATAATGTAAATGCCGGAAAGGCAAGTCATCAACAAGTGATGCAGGATTCTCAAACCCATCTCGAAGCCTTCGAATCCATGACTCAATCTTTTGAGCCTCGCGAACTTCATCAAGAGAAGGTAGATCTTGCTCCGCGTCTTGTGGACATTGAACATCAAGTACAACAACCGTTAATGACACAAAATCCTCGTCTAGAAAATCTATAGATGCTGGAATAACAGGTTTGTAAAAAACATGAGAAGAAAGTGAAGAAGGAAGAGGAGCTCAAGAAAGGGCATCAGCATTAGCCATAGAACTCATTGGGCAATAAACAACATCAAAATCATATATCTGAAGCTTCAAAGCCCATTGAGTAGTATGACCAACCAGATTCTTCTGTTTCAATAATGAAGTAACAACAGCATGGTCACTTTCAAGTAACGTTTGAGAACTATGTAGATATGCATGAAGTTTCTCGAAACCCCAAACTGCTGCTAAACACTCCTTCTCTGCCGTAGAGTAGTTCATCTCTGCTGGTTGTAATGTACGGCTTATATACGCAATGGGATGGCGCTGACCAGACACACTCAAGCTCTCTTGCATCAATACACATCCAAGACCAATGTCAAAAGCATCCACATGCAAAATAAAAGGTCGAGTGTAGTCAAGATATGCCAAAACCGGAGGAGTTGTTAATAGCTCTTTGAGATCCACAAACGCTCGCCCACAATCTGGAGACCAGATGAAAGATGATGTTGATAACTTTAGCAATGCTTGCAACAGTGTAGTTCGATCAAAAAGATGATCCACAAAACGACCGAGATATTACACCTTGCCCAGGAAGCACTGCAAATCATTCACACACTTCGGAATAGAAAACTTTAGAATAGCCACAAGTTTGTCAAGATCAACTTGTAAACCCTCATGAGAAATATGGTACCCAAGATAAGTTGTGTCCTTGGACCCAAACACGCATTTTGACCACTTCAGGTTTAAACCAACGTTGCATAGCCGATCTAACACTTTATAAACATCACGAATGTGCTCCTCCCACATCCCTTCCAAGTGGATCAAGACATCATCAATAAAGTCAGTAGTCATCTTGGCATATCGCAAATAACCTCGTCCATCATCCGTTAGAAAGTTGCTGAAGCATTGTTTAAACCAAACGACATCACCAAGAACTTGTACAAACCAAATAGTGTACAAAAAGCAATCTTAGAAATATCTTCTTCGGCCATCGATACTTGCCAGTACCCAGAAGCAAGATCTAGCGTGGTGAACTAATGACTTCACTCCAAACAATCCAAGAGATCAACAGTGTGAGGAAGAGGGTATACATTTGGGATTGTCACTTCGTTTAATAGACAATAATCGATATACAAACGAATACTCCCATCAGGTTTCATCACAAGATGAGGTTCACATGCTCAAGGACTTCACGATTTCCAAATAACACCCTTCTCCAACATTTCTTTGATGTTTGCATGTAAAATCTTAATCTCCTTGGGTGACCGACGACGAATAAAAACCTTAATTGGACGAGCATCCCTGGTTGGAATTGAATGATGTGTGGCAATCTTGGCCCCGGATGATAGGTCAAATTCAAAGAGATTAGAATACTCCTTCATGAGCCGGTCAACCGCTACAACACAAAGATCATTAGAGGGGTTGGAAAAGGGAAGAACAGAACAAGACAGAAATATAAGAGCAAATAGTGGGGGAACAAAAGTAATGGAAGCAGAGGTAGAAATAGAGGGATGAAGAGGTACGGAAGTGAGAGGAATGGATGAAACATAAAGAAATATGAGACAAGGGGGAGAAGCCTCAAAGTCACACTTGGCATGATTGCGCTGCAACCAATCCATACTAAGAATAAGGTCAAAAGCTTGACTCGGCACCACCCGCAAAAGCTCAAAATTGCCCACACACACAACCAAGTCCGCCTCATCCCGTGCACATGCACGTTGCCATAAAGAATGAAAATTGGTTCCGCCGCATGACGCAAGTGTAGATGGCAACGTGTGGCAACAGATCGAGCAATAGAAGATAAACTCGAACTTGTATCAACCAACACGGAGAGAATAATAGGAGACCTCTTGTTATAAAAATGAGCTTGGAAAGTA